AGTTCTCAAGTGTTGAAAGGCCTTGAGATATGAGTCTTAACTCAAGATACCCCATGAAACTTAACACTGGCAGAGCTGGCTTCTCTGCTTAATGGAGGATATACAGCATATGAAATCCTTCCCAAATTAATCTAATAAACTTTTAACTACTCTGGTGGACGTCTACAAAAAGCTGTGACTAAAATCTAAAAGAAGGCCATTCATAGCAGACCTTGCGCAGACAAAGCTACTACTTATGACTTGTAAATGTGAGGGAAATGTTTCTAAAAGGGGAAATACAAATTATAAGAAAAAAGCTGTTAAAAACCCTAAGCCTACTGTATATAAGCTCCCTATAAAAAGAAAAAAACATTAATCATGTTGAGAACCCAACTGGAAATAAGGAAGCAAACCCTGAGGAACATGTTCACCTCTCTACCAATGCAGGGGGGCTTCTCCCCCAAATCCCTGTACCAGCATCAATTCAAGTACAGCTGGCTTGATATCCTGATGGGCTATATCCAAATCGAATATATAAAATAATAAAGAAATACAGAAACAAGTTAACTACAACTCAGAGACTCATGTTTCACAGAAACAGGAGAGGATTGTAACAGATCCTTAAAAGGATTCATGGGCTGGAAAAACTTGCTTGGCTTAATTTTCCTAAGCCCATGAATCCTTTTAAGGAGAAAGACAGGGTACACGTGTAAATTGCACTTGCTAAATCTTTTAGAAACTGCTTTTTCAGGAGCTCTTACCTTAGCTGACTCGTTGTATGTGGAGTATTTATATTTCAATGGCCCCCACACTTTCACAGTGGTTACATTCACAAAAAGGAGTTCAGCTGAAAGGGCGCATGAATCCAAAGATGCATTGAACTGAGGTGGGCATATCTGTGGTGAGTGTTTTTGATAACTGTGCTCCGTCTCTGTCACTTGGGCTTTGTGTTCCAGATTATGCTAAAAGCCCTCAAGTGGTCATTGGAAGGGACCTTGGAGGTCTTCTAGTCCAACCCCCCCTGCCCAAGGCAGGAGACCTCATCCCATCCCGGACAGATGGCTGTTCAATCTTTTCTTGAAAACCTCCAGCGATGGGGTACCTAGAACATCGGGAGGAAAACTGTTCCACGGCTTAATGGTTCTCACCGTCAGGAAATTCCTCCTAATTTCCAGGTTGGCTCTCCCGTTGATGAGTTCTGACCCATTCGTCTGTGTCCTACCCTCAGGCGCAATGGAGGATAAATCAATGCCCTCTTCCCTGTGGCAACCCTTCAGATATTGGAAGTGTGCTATCATGTCTCCCCTCAGTCTTCTCTTTCTTAAGCTAAAGATACAATACCTCGTTCTTTTAGTTGTTCTTCATAGGATTTAGCCTCCAGTCTAAATCACGATACAAAAAAGACGCTGGGACCCCAGAATAGGTGCAGAGAAGAGCAACGAAGATGCTCTTCTCTGCACCTATTCTGGGGTCTCAGCGTCTTTTTTTGTATTGTGGTGACCAGAATGGGACACAGCACTGACAGAAAACTATAGTGTTAATTTAATTGATTTGGACATTATTTATACTATTGGGAGAAGATCTCCACCAGGGAAAACCCCAAGTGAAGTAGAGTTGGCAGGAAATGATCCACAGCAGCCAATGGAGAGGGCAGTAGAATCCATAGAACCCTTTAGACTCTTTTCATACTTTTCTTAATGAAGCACAAAATGACATAATCAGCAGATTTGAGCTTTTAAAGGGCCACCTGATAAGAAATGAAGGGCAAAGAAGGGAAGGTTTGAATGGTCACAAGAAACTCCACTGGGATACAGAATATTCGGAAACATTATAGCAATTTAATAAGTCTAGGAACAAGGATGGTTGCTGACCCAGACCCTCAGAGCAGAAAGACTCTGCAATGTCTTTCACCAGAGAAAACAAATCCTCTACTGAGCAAGACCACCCAAGAGAACACTTTCAGCGATAAGACCCTATTTTAAATTCCGCAACAAGTGTTCCTCGTATTTGGTCAGAGACAAAAGAATCGAATAAAGGAGAAACAGGCTGTTTTGAAAGGAATTTAGGGCCTCAGAGTGGGAAGATACATAACGCACTACATCTACCTGGATCTGTAGGAAAACTATCTTTTTTCTTCTTTTTATATATTCTTGTATAGATTTTCAGTATCAGCTGTTGTATGAAAACCATTAGCATTCATTTCCCCATGTAGTCCAGGCCTATTAGAAATGTATTCTCAAGTTTAGACTTTTCTGCAGATGCCAGCAACTGGTCAGAGGGGCTGCGTTGGCGAATGTTCCGTCCCCTTGGAATTCTCTCACTAATCTGTGACCTAAGAATACAGACGTTTACAGAAACCAGGCTAGAGAGTAGATCTTGAAAAGAAAAGCCCTAGAAGAAAGATGAAGCACAACTGGCATTCGAAGATAAGAAAAGGGGAACTGCTGGGTATGGAGGACATTGTGACGAAGAACAGATGCTTGTGTGCCCCATACATGCAAAAGACAGTTAATGATGGGTTTGTGTTAGAACATACAAATGTTCTGTAACAAATTGAGTGATTGACCGTGATTTATTATCCTTTGTGACTGCCATTATCCTCCAGTTACTCCATGGAGGGAGACAGTTTGATCTGGATCAATGTGCCCCATTTTATTTGCTGACCTGCAAATATCACTTAATAAACCAGACTTCTAGCATTTATGCTGTTGGAGGGTATGTGTGTTTTCCTTCTTTCAAGCATAGCTCAGATGGGTCCTGCCAGAGGAATCGGACAAATCATTTATTTTGCAGAACCAAATGAGAGAACTCGAGAACTCTCCGGTTCCCTTGAGAGTGTTCTTGAGAAGGCAAGCTGTTTGTTTCACCCCAATGTAAGCAGAAGGAGCCCGTTGATGGAGCTGATCCAACCTGCCAAGGAAAATAGGTTATTCTGTGGAGCAATCTGGTGGGGAAGACCAGGGCCCAGGAAGAAGCAGAATCTCATCTCGCCAGAGGGTAGGATGTAGATGAAAACGAAATCAAAGAACGAAAAAGACCAAGATATGGCGGCACCTTAAAGACCAACTTTTATATTTTTTTTAAATTTGAGCTTTTGTGGACAAATCCACTTCATCAGACAAAAAGACAGAAAGCTCACATTAAACAATACAAAAGTCTTTTAAGGGGTCATCATATTTTTGTCTCTATTTTTTGCTCTTTATTTTCTTTCCCCCCATAATGCTTGCACAGACTGACATGGCTACTCCCTTCTACAACTACTTCTCATACAGTGACTCGGGGGAACAATTTTCCAACTTCCCAGCATGTCTGCCCAACATGGAAAAAGTAAGCAGTTTTCTTCAGAGTGCTCCCCTTGCAACCCTGCTGCGGGAAAGATATTTGCCTCAGACCACCTCTGATTGACCCTTAATCCATCAACAACACCTCTCATTGACATTTCTTTGCTGGAACATTGCAGCCTGTTGAGGGATGGTTGTGGAGCCCTCCCTTCAGAAGTCCATCAGGGAATATACTGTAATATATGAGGGGGTGCGGGTAAGTATTGAGCCTTTCCCAGAAAAAAATGAGCTAGGAAGCTGTAACTGCCATACTATTCTACATATTTCCCCAGGAAGTCAATGCACCTGCAACATCTGTCCTGCAGCTTCTTAAGTCCCTGCAAATAAAATTCTTCCGACTGCTGGTGTAACCACTCATTTGCAGCATTAGTTGCCTCCAGAACACTCCCAAACCTTTGTCCCTTTAAGTGTTTTTTTTGAGTTTGGGGAACAGATAAAAGTCAGAAGGAGCCAGGTCGGGAGACTATGGTGGATGGGGCATCACTTGAAAGCTTAAGGACGTCAGTTTTGCCATTGTTTCACCTGCAGTGTGTGACAAGGCGTTGTCATGCAGAGCTTTCAAAGTTTTTCCTTGATGTTTTGCCTCAACTTAGTCAATAAAGCACAATAATATCTTGCATTGATGGTTGAACCCTGTTGGAGGTAGTCCACCAGCGGAACTCCCTTCTTATCCCAAAAAACTGTTGCCATTTGCTTCTGCACCGACCTTTGCACTCTGAACTTCTTTGGCCTGGGGGAACCACTGTGTCTCCATTCCTTAGACTGTTCCTTTGTCTCAGGATCATAACAGTAGATCCATGTCTCATCACCAGTTACCAGTTTGCCCAGGGAATCTGACTCATTTCTTGCAAAATGTCCCAAAACAGCCACCGATGACTCTACATTTCCTGTTTTGTTCGGTTGTCAAAAGTTTGGGGATCCACTTTGCTTCCAGCTTTCTCATTTCCAAATCGTTGTGGATAACGGCACCAACTCTCTCATGTGTTATTTTCAGATATATAGCAATACTTTTGGCTGATATTTGGCGGTCCTCCATGATCATGTCATGGATGGCTTTCACATTTGCAGGCACAGAGACAGAAACAGGCCTTCCACTGGGTTTCTCACTTTCAGCAGCGAAATGGCTGGTTTTAAAATTGACAACCCAACGTTTAACGGTTGCATATGAAGGGCCACTGTCACCCATAGTTTTTGACGTTTCATCATGGATATGCTTGCATCTTTAAGTTAAAATCATTGGTAGTTGATTTTTGCACCACTGAATATAGACAGATTGGCCAAATCACCTTGCAATTTATAGCTTCCTAGCTCAATTTTTTTCTGGGTAATGCTCAATACTTATCAGCACCCTCGTATTACAATACTTTTCCCGTAATATATTGAAGCTAGACAGTTTAGTTATTAAAAGCCAGTTCCAGAGGGGGTCACTCTAAGGGAGGCCTTGGGATCCTGGTTTCTACTAAATTTCGAGCCAACCCCATCAGCTTAATTTTGTTCGCCAATATTGCAGTCTCTCTGGTGACCTCTATCCCAAACCTTCTATGTACAGTAACTGCTTGCCATAGTTTGTTCTCTGAATTGTCTTTGTTGATAGTTAATAATTACATACAGTACCACCTTGCTCCAAGAATGGAAGTGGCATTTTAAATTGCACTTCATTTTTTTCTCTTTTTGTTTCAAATGAGGTCCCTTTTGAATGCTCTCTTGGTAGAATGTAGAATTTTGAAAACCTCTTTGACCTAAATTAAGCATGTGCTGAAATCCTGTTGCTGGCCTGTGGGTGCCAGATCACCACTGATTAAAGGCTTCCTTGGGTGATTTCAGGGGGTGACTTTCTCGCATCGTTTATGTGTCCCATTCACCTGAAATTGCTTTTCATCAATAGTCATCATCCCCCTTGTATTCACGGAGCTGCACAACAGGATTGCAGCCATTGTTTTAGATTTTTGATAGGGAGTGTGCCTGGATACACAAACTCCTAAAACCACACAAACACCAAAGTGTCATGTTATGTGTTCTGTTCACGAGGCCAAGAGGCAAATTTTGGTGATGAATTCTAGATATTGATTAAAAGAGGAGGGATTTAGCAGCTCAGATTCGTGGATGAATAATGTTTAGCCTCATGGCTTTGTTGTTTATAAACAAAGTAAAATCTATTTACACCAAATACATTTCTGGGACTCATCGTGGCATCTATCTTTTTGGTGCAGACAGGATGTCTCTGTTTTGGTTCATTTCCAGCAGGTGTGATCACTAGAAACTAATTCAAAGGAAGACTTGCCATTTCAAATCATGAAGCAGCTCAAGAAGAGAGCCACATCAGGATATTGTCAAATATCCTGATGTGGATATTTGAGTTTTTTTTAAGGTGTATTAGGGTATCATGCTTATTTTTATAAAATCAAAGAGAAATGGAAAATGGTGAGCACAGATCCCCAAAACTGACCGGGAGGGGTGAGTTCAGCACAACTCACAAGAGCTGGGTGCGGTTAGTGCTGGCACCGCCGCCACCAGCTTAGCCGTGATCATGCCCAGGCCTGGATGGCTTGCACGAAACCACCTTAATTGTCCTCTACCTTGGCAGCTCCAGCCTCCTGCGCCCACTGCCGCCGTGTGGCCTCCACAAGATTCGCAAAAGGTGGCAGGCTGGTCTGCTCAGGGTGAATGCAGCTCTCTCCCCCTGCCTGGCACTGGCGTGGCATTGCTTGAAGCGGCATGCCTTACCTGAAGGGGCCGGCTCACCCAGGGCCATTCGTGCCTTGAATTCACCCATTGGGCCCAGGCGGGAGTGAGCTGCGCGCCGCTCCTTGGCCAAAGGCTACTTGCCACGGCACCCTCCTCCTCCTCCTCCTGCTATTCCTTGGCTACCTGAATGCTCAGCCTCCCCATTTGTTCTGTGTATCCTGTGGCTGCCAGCTGGGCAGGCCAAGTGGAGAGGAATGTGTCAGGATCACGACCGACCGTGAAGCAGGCAGGCATCTTCCTTCACCCTGCGACCAAAGACATGTCTTTGTGTGTGTCCCGCCACCCCACACACACATACTTTCTGTGTTCTTCACTAACTCGGAGAGAACTAAAGGGGGGGGTATGTTTGGTGGTACAAGCAGCCCCTTCCTCTATTTGGAACTCACTGGAAAAAAAAAAGAGTCAGTATGAGATTCATAGGACCCATACAGAAAGGAAGCTGCAGGCGTGAGTTGACAAGAGTTGTGTGGGGGGGTCATTTTCATGTCTAAGAATCTATAGTTTTTAACACCTCTGCACAGAATTTGCAGAATGAGCCTCTGATTCGCTGGTATCTTCATAATCCTCATTTCTCTTCTAACCAGAGGCTGAAAGTGTTTTTTGACTTTGGATACCAAGGTTCCCCTTGGCAAATTGCCCCGTCGTATCCGACTCTAGGTGGTGGTGCTCATCCCCGTTTCCAAGCCTCAAGAGCCAGTGTTTGACGCTACCTTCCCACTGAGATGGTAACTATTTATCTATTCGCATTTCTACATATTTTCGAACTGCTAGGTTGGCAGGAGCTGGGACAAAGCGAAGGGAGCTCACTCCGTCGCGTGGATTCAAACTGCTGGATCTTACGACCTTGCAGACCAGAGGCTTTGAAGTTTAACCAGCAGCGCCACCACATCCCACTTTGGACACCAGAGCTCCGGGTAAAGATGTCTTGTGGTCCATCCAGATCAGACGGCATCCATGTTATTTAGCCAATATATTATTTCTTTTCCTGCTTTTCACATTTGTTGTTATCTTGAATGACCAGCTGTAACCATCTGTGCTTTATGTTTCTGATTATGTGATCCAAATATTCCACCTTCCTGCATTTTCCCCCGGATCCTCTTTCATTACTTCAAGACTTTTTAAACACTCTATGATCCAAGAAGTTTTTAAACCAGGAGAATATTTAATTTTTCACTTACAAAACACTATTTTCATGCGGTGCGCTTGGGCAGCTGATCTTTTCCATTTCTCTTAAGAGACTGTGCTGCTGTCCTAAATACAGTTACCTGGGAGCAATGCCCATTGACCTCCAAGAACCCTATATCTGAGTAGACCCATAGAGGATTGCACTGCTGCCTGTTCTCATGCCTCCACCTCAGATTTCAATGCCTCCTCTTTCTTGGACCTTTTGGACCTCCTATCACGAACAATTTCCTGGTTTTGTTTAGCCAGTGATAACGTTTTTTAAAAAATTAAGGGGGAAAAATTAAACAGAGCAATTACTGGCAGAAAGAGTACCCAAGGAAAAATGTAATTTGGGTGCAACGCAGTCACGTTTTCCTTTCGTCTCCTGTGAGCGAAGCAAAAGCAGCATCTTGGCGATTGGCTCTGAAAGGGTTAAGAGCAGCAAAACACCGCGGAGGTTCCTAGAGAGGAAAAAAATGGGCAAGAGGCGGCTTCTTTCACTGCACATGATCCTTTCCCCGAATGGGGATTTCGGAAAAACCCTGTTTTTTCCCCCGGACTACAACTCCCATCCTCTTCCAGGCGGTGGCTAGAATTTTGCGGGCGAGAGCTTAGCCAGAGCCCCAAAGGTCTCATTTAAAAACAAAAACAAAACTACAACTCCCAGCATCCCCAGCCAGCGGAGTGGGGCAGTAACTGGGGATGATGGAACATGTAGTCTGAAAATAATTGTGCGACGTGGCCCGAAAGGAACGGCGTTACTTTCCTCTGAAGAGTAACGAAGCTGGGCTGGAGAGGCCACAGAGCCTTCTCTTTCTTTGGCAGAGCGTTACTTTCTCCTCTTGGCGTTACTAGTCCCTGGTGAGGTCTGGTAAGGATCTCTCCCCCCATCTTCTCTCCCTCTCTTTTCCCCCTCCTCTGATGGTACTTTGAAATCGTTTTTTAATTCTTTTAATTCAGTGTTGTCTGGGATCATATGTACATACCTATACACGTGTGTGTGTGTG